CGCTCTTTGAATGGCCTTGTAGAGAAATTGTCTGACTAGTGGTCGCAGGTTTAGGTTGCGGCAAGAGTTCCACAACTGGGGTGCTGGTTCCAGTGAGTGCGTTACATCGTGGAGTCCATCTCGCATCCGGGAAATATTGTAGGTTGCATGTTTGCGCGGTTGAGTGGTGGCGACTTTCCGTGCTCGGATAGCTTCATAGGCGAGGTGCTGGGTGAGTGCAGATAGTTTCACACCGGGGAGGGCAAAGTTTGCCGGGACGGTGAGGTCTATCTCGTCAGGCTGGTCTTTTTCGGCTCCTTCCCTCGCTAGGGCATCAGCGGCTTCATTGCCTGGGTCACCGTTATGGCCCTTTACCCATTGGAACGCTGTGGTAGCAGATCGAATTCGTAAGTGGTATGCTGTCGCATGGAAGAGGGTGCTATTTTCGATGTTTATCCATCCTTGGTCTTCCCAGGTACCTAGGTGGCGAGTCAAGCCTTCTATGACGTACATCGAGTCAGTGATGAAGGTTATTGGGCGGAAGGTGGGGATTGTTTGTAGGGCAACTAGTATAGCAGTAAGTTCTCCGGCTTGGTTGCTTTGGTCTGGGCCTGGTACCCTAATTGCGCGGTTATAGCGACTATGGGGGCGTACGTAGATCCCTCTTCCGGCGCGTGCATTAGCCTTACCATTGTGTAGGCATGAGCCATCGGTGTAGACTGTTATATGTTGATGGGGGAGGTTGAGGCCGGTGGCAGGGGTGCGTAGACGGTATGCAGGTGAGGTGGATACAGTCTTTGGGTCTAGGAACACCCGGAAGCATTCTGCCAGACTGTTCTTTGCCGTTAGCGTGGGGTCAAAGGTGATGGTGCCCTGTTCGGCATGGGCTTGTTTGTTTTTCTCCAGGTGGCGATGGGTGAGAGTTAAGTTGTCTGGGTGAGGGCGATTTGACATGTTGGTCAGGTCTGAGAAAGATTGAAGTATGGCAGCGGCAGTTTTTGCGCAGCGGTGTGGGTTGGTGCAACCATGTCGCCGGTCCAGCGCGCAAGCGGGACACGCGCAGCATTTCGTGGGGTTGTGGCATCCCCGCCCTGGATTGTCGCGGAGGCGGGCCGAGAGAACGAGTGGGTGTTTGACTTGTTTGGCGTTTGACAGGTGGTTGTGGATGAGGCATTCAATGCGGGGCGCAACATACGCACGGGGTGCTGCACCGAGGTGATAGAAGGCGGGGAGTTGGGTTTTAAGGTCCTGTGAGAGCTTTGCAGGTGCAAACGCTACACCATACTTACGAGCTGTTTTCAGCATTGTGAGTGTATATGGGGGTAGGGTATTAGCACGGGGGCCTTGTGTGGGAGGGTCCCATTTTTGCAGGAATGAATTCATGAGGGCCTCGGATGCAATCCCTTCAGGCGCTAATTGGTTTATTAGGCAATCTAGGACAAATGCCCAGGCCGGGCGAGTTGGGGAGATGTCGAGATAGTCACGTAGCCAGGTGAGTTCGATGGCCTCGTTCCTGGCATTTATGTCCAGGAGGTCGATACCGCCCTGGCGTCGGGGTTTGTAGAGATGGGCCAGGGCAATGGGAGGGTGGGCTGCATCTTCCCAGATGAAGCCTCGGGTCAGCTTTTCAAGGGCCTGGGCGATGTGCTTAGGCATGCCTTGGACTTTGGTTAGGTATTGGGACATACCTCCAACCGTCCACTGGATCATGTGGCATTTTGCGAACAGCGTGGGGTGGGATTGTTGGAAGCGATTTAGGGTAAGTTGTATTTTGTCGATTATTGGTTCCCAAGGTGTGGCATTGCTGATGAGGTTGCCAATCCAGGCACCGAGTGAGCGGATGGCTTCGCCGTCCTTGGCGATGTGAATTGAGAGTGGTAGTGGGGGGTCATCAACATGGAGGCGTCGGGAGGATAGGACATGTTGGCGGTGCGCCAGTCTGCCAATTGGTATTATTTCAGTTTTCTCCGTATTGAATGTCGCACCGGAGGCTTTGCACCACAGGTTCAGGATGTCATTCAGGTCAGCGAGGCGGTCCGATTCACGTAAGTAGATGGTGGTGTCATCAGAGAATAGCGTTACTAGGACTTTATCCTTGATACCCGGGATTGAGAAGCCAGAGAGTTTATCTGAGTCGCGTAGGAGACATGCGAGGGGTTCGATCGCTAGGTCAAATAGTAGGCAGGACAGAGGGTCGCCTTGGCCCACTCCACGGGTGACTTGGAAGGATTTGCTGAGGATGCCATTAATCATTACACTCGTGCATGCATTGGCATAAAGGGATTTAACTGTTTGTATAAACCGGTCCGGGAGTTGGAATTTGTTAAGCGTGGCCCAGAGGTAGTCGTGGTGGATTCGATCATAGGCTTTTTCTTGGTCTAGGGCAATTATGGTGCCATTTTCATCCATAGCTTCGGCAAAGCTGATCATAGCTTGGGAGAGGCGCACATGATTGAAGATGGAGCGGCCGGGGACAAAGCCAGCTTGGTCCCGGTGGATAAGGGTCGGGGCATGGTTAGCTAGTTGCATTGCGAGGGCTTTAGTGAGTATTTTATAGTCTGAGTTCAGGAGGGTGATGGGTCTATAGTTAGCTATGTTACTGCGGTCTTTCTTCTTGAAGATGGGGCACATCCACCCAGCCGTGAACTTAGTTGATGGGTCTACCCCATGTGATTGGATGTCACGGAACACTAAGGTTAGGGTGGCAACCACGTTGAATGAGGGTTCATCTGCTTTAGCTTTCAGGGTATGTATTTCGTGTAGTTTCTTCCAGAGTTCATACGGAATGCCGTCAAGGCCGGTTGCTGTGCCAGTCTTTGACATTTTGAGTGCCTGATCTGTGTGTGCGGCAGTGAGCAGACCGTCGAGGTCAGTGTTCAATTGGGATCGGAGTTTTTGGGATAGTGGGATTGCTTCAAGGGCTTCATCAATCGCGGTGCAGCGTTCGGAGGGTGAGTGCACATTGGTGTCTACGGTTTGTAATATTTCGTGGTAGTTGCACGCAATGTCCGCCATCTCAGTGGAGGATGTCACAAATCGTCGGGGGTTCGAGTTGGGTATTTCGAGTGAGTGAATAGGGTCGCGGGGTGTTTTGGAGCTTAAGACCCTAGACAGGTATTTTGAGGGAGTTTCGCCTTTTGATGCCCACTGGGCAGTTCCGTGGGCTTGGGCTTTAGCAAAACGTTTTTTGTGTAGGTGTGTTATCTCGCTTTCCAGGAGCATTGCATGTTTTCTGAGATCCACTGAGTCATCGAAACTGGGGTCATTTTGGGTTTGTTTCAGTTCAGCCTGCAGGGCTCGAAGTCGGTGTGTTAGTTTCGCCATGGAGGTCTTAGCATATTTCTTAGCAATGTTGGTGATGGCTTGCTTAAACTCTTCCCATAGCCGTTGTGGGTTTGCCGTTGCTGTTCTTGTGTCCTTTGCAGACCGCATGGCTTGGATCAGGCAGATTCCTAGGGCCTCAACCTGCCCAAGGAGTGTGTTGTCATTGAGTAGGCCTAGCGGCCATGTCCAGCGGCCACTGCCAATTTGGGGTGCATCAGTAGGTGCAAAACGGATGGAGGTGAGTTTATGGTCAGTTGGGACTATGGATTGGCATATTTGCCAGTCACGTATGGTAGTTAAGTGGGAACGTCGTGCGTATATTCTGTCTATACGGGAGAAGTGGGAGCGGGCACTCATGTAAGTATAGGTTCGGTCATTACCGTTGTCTGTACGCCAAGCGTCAACAACATCGAGGGTGAGGCGTGCGTCTCGGAGGGCATCCGTGGCTGGTATTGGGTCAGTATGTGGTGGGGATCTGTCGATAGGATCCTCGACCAGGTTGAAGTCACCCAACATGAAGTCGGGTTTAGGGAGGTGGTTGTTTGCCCAGGGTGAGGACAGTTCTCGCCAGAATTCTGGGTGTTTGGTGTAATCATTCGGTGCGTAAACGTTCAGGATTGAGAATTTCTTGGACTTATGCCAGGTGGAGAAGAGCAGTAGAGCGCGGCCAGGTATGAGTTCTACCACCTCTATATCCGCAGTGTTTGTAATTTCTCGGTTGAGTATGAAGGCGACACCCGCTGATGCCGTTGGTCGCTGCGGGTCAGCAGAGTTGATAACAAACAGTCGACGGCCATACAATTTGTGGATGTCATGGACATATTCTTCGGATAGGTGGGTTTCCTGCAGGGCAAGGATACCAATGCGTTGCTCACGCATGAGCGAGTGTATTGCAGACCATTTTGATATCAGAGAGTGACTTAATTGTGGCGCATGACGGCCGTTCATGTTGAGGGTAGCGATGTGAATCATTGCTCTCGTCTTTCGGCTTATTTGTGTAGCTTGCTGTAGAATAGGGTTAGGTTCAGTAGGTTCTCGGGGGGCTGGGAGGTCAAGGTCTTGTGTGACGCTGGGAATGCTGGAGGTGCTGGGGTGCACTGGGTCACTGGAGGTGTCTCCCGCTCCTGGGGATCGATACCTTTTTCGATGGTCTACCCGCCGGTCCTTGGATGTATTATTCGGGATTTTTGTCTGGTGCTTTCGGCGTCTGTTTTGTTCTTTCCGCGCTGGGGACCTCCCAACCCACAGTGCCCTCTCTGTCGTCGACTGTGACGGCTGGTACGAGAGGAATACGTACTGTTGGTCATTGGACGTAGATTCTGCTGATGTCGACAACCCAGCAACCAACTGCGGGAGAGCTGAGGTTCCCGCCTGTAGCTCAGTCGCTTGTTGTTCCGAATATTCGGTGAGTTTGATGACTTGGTTCCCGGGAGCCGTCCATTGACTCATTTCAGGTATCAATGGTTGAAATAGCTGCAGGAGTCGGGCGTGGTAATCCTGGCTCGCGCGCAGGGACCTTACACCCTGTGCGGGCCACACTTGGTCAGACTCTGTCGCCGACGAGTACAGCTGATAACGCGTGTGAGTTAGTACCACGGGGACACCCTATGTAAATCAGCACGTACCTCATAGGCTGCGTGTGAAGGCTGCCCAAGCGACGTAGGGAGATTACTTCTCCACTTTCGGATGGGGACAGAACACCAGTCCTGGAAGACTTGTGCTTGATTGTTTAGCGGTCCTGGCTGCTGCCCATGGAGCTGGGAAGACCGATCAATACTGAGGGTTCGAAAGTATGAAGGTGAGCTCGCACCATACTCACTTCATGCCATGCCTCTCCGTTCCCCGAGTATGCGGACATGATCCCTTCGTCGATGGTTTGTCGTTCCTGATCACGGGACTCCTCGCCCGTTGCCTCTTCGCCAAACATATATCTGTCGTGGCACTCGTAGGGCTAGAAGGATCCGTAGTCAGCTCCGACGGTAGTAAATTATGGTATATTGTGCATGCGAGACCTCGTACCTGATTTCGGCCTTGATCTGACCTCTCTAGATACGAATAGGCGAGTAACACGGCGCTTCGTCCATCCCCCCACCCTTCCGAAGGTATGTTCTGTGGTGTACTCTCATCCGTCTCTCCAGACGTTGTCATCGATCTATAGGCCTGGAATTCACCTAATAGCTCACAATGGATCCTGCCCGTTGGCGGTCTATATCCCCCAGCTGAGGCGCGGATGAAGGTGAATGTACATTGTCGTTGCTGTAGCTTACGTGCGTCATCGGCGCAGGGGTAGCATATGCCTCGACGGATTCTGATGCCTCTTGACAGGTCGCAGCTATCCGGAGGACGTACGTTGACATCTGAGGGTGAGACACTGATGGTGCGAGGGCCTCGGCGTATGCGGAGGAAGTCGTCAATATAAGGGCGTCGTACATGTCGATGGATTGGGATGCGTGCTGCGTCCTCTGAAAGCCTTTGGTATTCGTGCATTTCAAGCAGGTAAGTGGATATCTCTTACCTGCGCTTCCCACTCTTCACCGAGGGCACCGGCCAACGTCGAGTACGTGGTCAACTTAGGTACCGACGATGTAGCTGCCTCGAGGCAGGCAGGGTAAGTCATCGGTGCTGGTGTGGCGTTATATGGACAGTTTGAGGTGTACGATAAGCCTGTCCTCGCGTTTGGTACTCGACCGTGCAAACAGGTTAGTGAACACTCGCACCTGGGCTATATGCTTCTGGGTTTTCGCTGCATCGTGCATGAATCTCTGCCAGTCTATCTCTACGGCTGGCTGGCTGGCTTAGCTAGTATCTATTCTCATCTAGTAGAAGTCAATGTGGCACACCAGGAACAAAACGACTCACTCTGACTAGGGTTTACGACGGTCCTCGCTGTGACTCCTGCCCGGAGGCATGCAGTTGCAGGTACTAATGATGGGCCCGAGCCATTGCCAGTCGACGTCGACTGCATGCTCGTGAAGGGCCTTGCACACCCTTATGCATGCTGCAAATCACCGGTGCTGCGGGCTATGGCAATGCCTGGAAGACATTTCGGGGCACGTACAGGGTGGAGTGGTAAATCTATGCCTCGCTCTCGAGGCTTCTACGGTTGTCATATCAAACGGATAGTCTGTGCGGCTAGAGACCCTACGACTTTGAGCCGTTACGCTATCAATATCCCGGTCAGCTTACTATCCACAACGAGCTCGCGCCGAAAGACGGCAAAAGGTTGTGGTTGGTTCCCACGTGTGACGATTTGCCAGTGAGCGTTGCGCGAGTCAGGAATACGCCGACTCTTCTCTTCAACCTCATCTTAGCTTTCTCTTTGAAATCTGCCATCTATCGCATTTTCGTGTAGCATTCGAAATTTATGGCACGCCCTGATCTTCCTTCCTGCGGCGGATCGGTTGCCTGGATGGCTCAGAAATGTCCATCGCGAGGAGCTCGTTATGGATGGTCGCAATGGAGTCGGCGGATGATTACTGAAGCAGTGAACATTAATCTATACTGTGTAGTCGCGAAGGTCACGTTTGTCTGGCGGTGGGTGTAAATGTCGCGTTCCAGACTGCTTGCAAGGAGCACGGACAACACTGCGAAACGGTTTGAAGCTAGAGTTGGACGCATGGAAATGGCAAGATCCTGGTAAGCCCCATGACTTTGTGGTGGAAACAAAGAGACGATGTTGTGTTCTCGTTCTGCTCATCCATTGTATCTACACCGCATGCCCCCCTTTATGAATACACAGCTCTTAACTTCTCTTTGTGACTGATCATCATGATTTACTGGCTATGCGTCTCGCAAACGAAGGTTGTGACAAGATGTAGATGGAGGCGGAATGCGGGCGCTGGCCTGACTTACTTCTGATTGCAGAGCTGACGTGCAGATACGGTACTATCGGGAATTCGCAATACATCGTATACCAAGTCTGAACGGCCCCAGTATTCTATTCCCATCCAGACCTCAAAGTTGTGGTTACATGAAGTGGAACCACAACCAATGCCCATGACATCTCAAGACTCGAGGGGATAAACGCTATAACTTCCATCCCTATTCTCGAAGATACCCCGAAATTGGTTCCCCTTTTGTTCGATTCGTGTGAGTATGATGTCCTGCAGTGACTCCGGCGGGCCCCCAAGATCGCAATTCTTGCATGGATCGTGCTGATGCCCTGCCTGCTGGCATCGTCGCAGTCTATCATACTGCCATAAGGTGAGCAAAAGTGTTGGTGTGGAACAACACTGACTCCGGCATACCATCAGATGGGAATGGCCTTCTAGGAATTTCAATGCAAGTTGCACGGCGATGTCACGGCGGCTGAGAATGCCGGTTTCGAATGTCATCTTTGAGGTGGGCAGTCTATAGTTGCCGTACTGCGAGTATCGACTTCTTTTAAGTTGTGAACGTTCATTCAGAGACAGTGTAGCACACCTTGAACTTCAGGATGCAGCTATATCCTTCTGGGCATCTCGGGAGCTTTATTTTCCTGCCCTTCCAATCACACCACGGGTCTTTTCCACCTCGACTATGTGTGATCTCTGTAAGTTGCCGTACGCTCATGTTAGGACCGTCAATCCATCCCCTGATCATCCGGAGTGGCTCTGGTGGATCAGACACAACAGTGGCAGACATAGACACTTCCCCCGCTGTCTCTATCTGGCGAGATGGTGCCCAGTAAGTGCGGAATTCCATTGCTTCAGCGCTGGCTCTATAAAGGTTTAACTGGGCCCCTCCGTACAGCAACGTTGCCTGTTTCTTGTGTTCTTCGGTAGGTTTAATGTACTGGTTCTCGGGAGCCGTGCATTGACTTATTCCAGGTGTCAACGTGTCACATGGCTGCAAGAACTGGGTGTTGTATCCATGGAAGTATTGAGTAAGCTCCATGGAATAGTGTTCAGGCCACGCCTGACCATCGTCCGTGGCTGAGGGGTACGTCTGAAACAGTCCGATCATCAGTACTAAGCCTAGCAAGCCACGCGCTTGGACTGTTACCTGCTTGACCCCTCGATATAGGGTCTGTACGATCGGGGTATAGACATACGGACCTGAACTAGTTAAACTTGACCATTTCTGTGAAATATCCCAGTTTACGAAGGGTAAACCCACGCTAGTGGTGGGTCCTGTCTGAGCTGCGTAGAGCTAGTATGACCCTGAATTAGGGCAACAATGGCAAGTACTGATGCAAGCACCTAACATATTGCCTCCGGGATACAACGTCTCCCCGGACCATGCTTGGGTGGACAGATGAGCGCCGTTCGCATTTGGCCACCCCTCGACAGGCATCTCATATTGGTTTGTGACGGCCGATCCGTCAGCAAGCGGGATGTGTGCCGCTGTTCCTTGTAGCTAGATCGACCCAAGAATCAGCGCTGACGGTCGAAGTAAACATATGATAAGAGCTCATACGGTGTTCTGGCCTTGACCGCCTCTCTCTTGGAGCCATGTGTAGGCCGCCGAGTCGGTACCTCCTAGCCCGTTCGCCAAAGGTATGTAACAAGCATTGACCATTGACACTACTCCGCTCTCCACGGGTGCGTTGTATCCTTCGGCCCACGCTGCTTCGTTCTCCAAATGTATGTTGTATCCGTCCATCGTGGACGCTCCTCCGCTCGTCATGCCCCCGAGGAAACGTTGGTGTGAAGTATACATGGGCTCTGTGAGTGTTCCAAGAACCTTATATAATCCCAAGGTCAGTAACTAAGGTTAGACTAGACGTGGAGGTAAGAGCTCGTACCTCAGCGCCCCCTTCGAATACAGCTTCGCCGAGCCCAACATAGGCTGCCGGATTCAGGTCCTCTAAAGCTCCCCCCTCCTGCAAACATACATCGAACCCGTCCGCTGGGGATATCACCTCTCCCGCGATGTCACCAAAGATAAGTCCCTCTGTTATTGCCTGTCGAGTAGACCGCATCGACGCTGTGCTACCGGGAAGAAATTGATCTGGAGATGTCGGTGGACTAGACAATGCCGACGGCGTAGCACCCTGGCTATACGCCGGCGACGTTTGTGATATGGGAGTTGGGTATGTCGTCATCCCGGGATTGGACGATCCCGACGGAGATGCTCCATTATTGTATACATGCGAAGCTGTAAACGCAGGTGCCGCGGTGGGTTGCGGTGGCACCTTGCATGCCTCAGCAATTGGGCCATGCGTTGCGAATACATAGGTGAACATTCATACCTGGGCTCTCTCTCCTCCTCCAAGCGCCCCCTCCAGCGTCGAATATTTCGACAGTCTGGCACCTCGCAATCTCGGGCACTTCTCCGTTCTATCCAGCATATCGCAGTTCGAGCCAGGTGGTTTCTCGTGGTTGAAGGGGCTCTTGCCTGCCGTACAGACTGCGGGCTGAAGAGCAAAGGTAGTGTGAGGATATGTTGGTGCAGATATAGCTAGTGGTGTCACGTAGATAATGCCTGCGATCAGGAATGAATACAGTGACAAATCACATACCATTGCCTGAGTATAACGTTGGATGTGTCCCTGGACTTGTTCTGGTGGATAACTTTGATAAGTTTGCACTTTATATTTCAGGGACTTAAAAATGGAGCAAGATAAGCAAGCGTTCCGGGAATATAAGAAGTATCGCGTACTTTGTCCATTGCGGAGATGCGCATATATTCTGAATTCGTAACCACACCATACCGGCGGTCACAGGTATCATTGACCCTCCTAGAGCATGGCATCGAAGAATAATGAGACAGAACGTTTGAGATGAGAATGGTGAAGAAGTAGTGAGGGTTTGACACGTAAGAGAAGAAAACGCAACTGATAGTTGAATAGAAGGAAGAGGTCGGGAGGAGATTTTCTCAGGCTCTGGACTGTCGAGCGTGACCTCCCTATTCCGCTATAGATCTCGATTACAATCAAAGGAAAGATATGTATTTTTAATGTATGTAAAGCGCTATCATATGAGGTATGGTTTATGTTGTGGTGGAAAAAGTGGGTGTGGTGTAGTGTGCCATAGAGTGTAGCTGCGTACACCGCCGTACTAGTAATATATGCCAGTCTTTCTAGACCCCATCCAGCAAAATTGAGTACATGTATTGGCTCCATAAAGGATATTAATAATAGGCGGAACCGTTGAGACGACTTGGAGATAGAGCACTAGTGAGTCTTTGTTCCTTGTAACGTGACTAACGTCGGACTACCGCTGCAGGCAATGCTGTGTGGCACGCGGCTCCCTTCGCTCCCCCCTTCAGGCATTTGAATCATATACTGTAGGTATATTAAAATGAAACCTAACTTAGCGCTATATTCGACTATATGATCCGGTCCTTTACGACAAAATCCCGTCTGTTATACATTGCCAGCCATCCGCTAAAGTCACGAGCTAAGGTTGATAAAGTTGTCAACGGGCGTACCATATGGGTACCAAACACATAATATACGCATATGTTACCCTTTTAATGAGTAGCTGCCCTCCCGCAAGTCTTTCGATGTTTGTTCAAGCCATCGCGGGTGTCGTGGTTGTCCGGGCGCGAGTTGGAATGACCGGGGTCCTATCCGATGGCGGGTCATCTTGAAGCCGTAAACGCGAGCCTTGCGCATGCGCGTCGACTCGCGAGGAAGGGTCACCTTTTCTATCTTCGTTCTTTTTTTTTGCTCAACGTTTACTGCAGCAGTCCGCCTCCTTAGCCGTTTGTCTCGAGCGTTTCCTGGACCATGCCTGGCGCGAATCGTACTAGTAGGCCTGGAGTGCTTCGCTGTCGTGGAGGGCCCGCCGTGTCGTTGCGCAGTATCCTCAGTGGCAGAGTGGTCTTTCCGCGAAGTTCCTTGGATGCGGTAGTGTTTATGAGGTTAAGGATATCACGGGAGGCGAAGCCGTATTCCGGGTGTATCGGGGCGTCTGTGGATGGGAGGTGGTGGAAACTCAGTGTTGCTCGGGAGAAGATTTCACATAACTTGCGAGGCGACATGCGGTATGAGATGGTGTGTAATTGTTGGTGCGTCTGTTTGTCCATTGTGCAGCCACATCAATGCGTCGTGTATGGCGCATAAACGGAGGTCCCGGGCTAGGGAGGTGAAGCTTTGACGTAGCGCGCTCTTCTTGCCTGCATAGATTCTGGTGAATACCTTGGCCTACTCGAGCTGCATGAGCCGGGCGGCGTTCCAGTCCCTTGATGTATCGTCCTGGTGCGCGACGTCCATGTCTCGTTTTGCCATGGTGCGTGAATACGAGACACCGATGCCTCGTTTCGCCTTGTGTATGAATGCGATACATTAATCCCTCCTTCACCCTGGTGCGCGACTGCCTGATAGCGACATATCCCGTTTCGTCCTGATATCATGTGGGGGGACCGTAACAATGTACCAGTGTGGGACAGGCGCCACCTCGCGAGTACTGGAAGAGAATCTGTTGTGAGTCATGAGCAACCCGCCCCAGAAGTACTTCGTTGTCTCTGACGTGGATGGTATCTGCCCCACTGCCATGTGCTTCTTCTACAGGCAGTTATAGGTGAGTCTCAACTGGCTGCCCGCATATGTACAAAGCACGACTTACATCGACTCGCGAAGAGATGGCACAAAGGTATGGAAGTCCGAGCAAGGCTGTACAGAGTTCTGGTGAGCAGGAAAATCGCTGGCGCTATAGTCCCGGTGTGTATTGAAATTAATCCATCTTGATTCTGTCAGTGCGGTCCATGCGGATGGTCCTTGGCATTTACGAATCCCATGATCAATGCTCACATCGCATGAGTGGCTGGAGGAGAATACCGAGGGCGAGTACTGACAGGACCACTAATTGTTTGACCTAGCCACGACGTTTGGTTGCCGCTGCATTCGAAACTCGCCTATGTATGGTCCTCCAGCGGCAACGAGAGATATCTAGGCCCAGCCATAACATTTCCCAACCGTTGGCATGTGAATATCTACGTCAGTGGATGCCTGCGCATGCGAGAGGAGGCGTGGAACGCCGTGTAAGTAGGTCCAACTTCTGACGGTTAGCATCAAATGTCAGCACCCAGCGCGCCTGACAGTGGTTCAGGCGCCGGAGTTGCCAATGGTTATCGCGAACAATCCACCGCAGGAATTTCACCTCGTTGGACCGGACTCTAAGATCCTTCATTCGATTCATCTGTTTTGGCATTTCCATTCTAACCCTGTCGTCAGTTGCTTTGTACGAATTCGAGGCTCATACGGGCGAACAATCGATTTTGAGGCGACTGTTCGGGAGGCTGTGGTGATCCAGGTCAGGCATAGAGAGTGGTAGAATGTGGTAGTGGAGTGCTTACTCTCACACAACTCGTTCAAAATAGGACGCCGTGACTAAAGTTTCCACTGACATTGTCTTGACAGAGTCGACGGACAGGAACGTACCCGGATGCTTGACCATCGTAAGGCAAGATATAGTGGGAGTCAGATGTACGATGTACCTGCTTATAGGCCACACGCCACCATACTCAGGCTCCTGTGGCGTGTGGCGTCCGAGTCGCGTCGCGTCGCGCGTGACTGGTCGCGTCTCCGTCGATCCTGATCCGCGCTTAACCGCTCGGGATGGTTGCCAGTTGAAACGGCTCATTCTTCGATTCGTGGTGCTGTATAATGTGTGGATGAAGGTTTAGAGAACAACTTCAAAAAATCGAGAGCGTGACTACGGAGCATGACTATTTGGCCAGGAAACACTGCGGGAGTTGCAGTCTTTAGGGGCGGGCAAAAGATTGTAAGAAAGGGAATTCCGCGGGCTCTAATTGGCTGGAAATCACCTTTCGTACAATCTTCTGCCCGGCCTTAAATACTGCAACTCCCGAAGTGGAACGCATCGAGAAGTTGCTACCAAGACTATCAAGCGGAGCGGCCTGAACCGGAAGCTGCTGGACAACTTATAGAGCGAGATAGACATCCTCAAGTCTCTCACACATCGGCACATCACGAAGCTTATTGACATCATCGTATGTACTCGTTCCCTGCGGCTTGTTCTGTCTAATACATCAAGTCAAATGCGGAGCATAACATCTATCTGATTGTGGAGTACTGCGCGGGGGGGGGGGGGGCGATTTAAAGAGCTACATCCGCAAGCTCGGGCGCGTGGAGGGACTGGAGTAGATCCCCGGTCCAAATATGCCTCCATAGTACTACCCTCACCCCCGGACAGGAAGCCTGGACGAGATTGTCGTCCGTAGCTTCCTGGGGCAACTCGGTGACGTCCTTCTCCCCTCAAATGCATCTTGCATACGATGTGACCAAGTGCAGCCCGCGCGCTCAAATTTCTCCGACAGCGGAATCTCACATCAAGCCGCATCCAGAGGAGTTGGCTATGGGACATCCACTCGGCGTTCCCATCCTTAAGATCGCCGACTTCGGCTTCACTCGCTCGTTGCCCAACGCCATGATGGCGGAGACCCTTTGTGACTCACCGCGAGACATGCTTTCGATGACAGATAGCACAATACTAAGGTCTCCGTTGATTGTACATGGCACCAGAGATTTTGAGCTACAAGCACCACGACGCCCGCGTCGACGTATGGTTCGTGGGCGCAGTCCTCTACGAAATGGCGGTCGGTACTCCCCCATGGAACTGCTGAAGAAGATCGAGCGGTCCAAAGGGATCAAGTGCCCCGACGAGGACCCGAGCAAGCAGTCAGACGAGCTCAAGCCCGTGTCGCCCGACGTGAAGCAGCTCATTCGGCGCCTGCTGACGCGTGAGCCGATCGAGCGCTGTAGCTTCGAGGAGTTCTTTGGGAGTACGGCGCTCGCGAAGTCGAGATTCCCGCGGCCGTCAAAGACGCGCTCGACTTCGTCGTCTGTGCCTACTAGTAGGACTCAGTCTAACGAATCCTGACCGAGCGAGGAGCCCGCCCAGCCCGCGTCCACAGCTGAGGCGGAGGTGTTAGATCCCAAGGTCGTCTTACCTCCCAGCAAATTAAACTTCAAGCGGCAAGAGAACAACGATGGTCAAAGGTGACGCTTTAGTGAAATACGTAGAAGAACATCTTCTGAGCTAAACGCCTGTAGCGATAGTCCAGTATCATCGCATGGCGATCATGGCACGCGACCGTGATACGCTGGTGAAGACATGGCTACAGGTGCAGTACTACGGCCCTCGGATGTGGCTCGACCATCTAGTGTATGACAGGGCCTTACAGCTCTTAAGTTGGCAAACGCCTTTTACATTGATATGGGACGGCTGCCGGGACAGAGCTACTGGATCAGGCATCTACTCCGGACGAATGCAAGCAGCTATATGAAGAGTCAATATGGCTGGTGTACAGTCTGAAAGACGACCTGCTACAGAGCGGAAATCCCTTCGTTGAAGAAGGTCGGACAATTGTGGTGACTTGTACGGGTCATTCACCTCCTCTATTCTAAAACATGTTGAGACATCGTGTTGTATTCGTTAGGGGTCACGAGGACTAAGCTTTGCCTGCACTGCTTCCAGGATCGCATGAGAATGAACGATCATGACAGACTCCAGGACGCCCGAGCCGATCAGAACCTGGACGACGTCACCCGGATCCCTCCTCCTTGGGAGCCCTCGGCAAATCAGAGCTCTCCTTGATCCTAGCAGTTATGAAGTATCAACTGTATGGGATCTCACGTTATTCTCCTCTTAGTTTTGCGGTATAGATGTTGTCTGTATCTTTCTCCTTGTACCTTGGATATCTCTAGTGGCTGGAAAGGGTTCTTGGTAATCATTCGAACGGACTCACATCTCATCGTCCTTGTTCTCTGCTCTCACTTGCAATCCTTTGTAAATTACTCACGCAATACTGTACTATATATCATCGATGGTATGCAAGTTTTCGATTTGCGAAAACTCACTGCAGAATCTGCCTTCTCACCTTTTCGCAGGAAGGGTGTATCGGGGCATCAGTATAACACCACAGGGGATATACGAAGCCCTGGTAAACAGTGACCATACATAAATGGTACATGGATCAGATTACTAGTGATGCGCGCTCGCGCAGAGTTGCTCGCGAAGCGTAACGTGGTGTGGCGCGACACGTCGTCCTGTTATGTGACACAGCTGGTGCACCACGCACGCCAACATACGGCTCAAATTACTGTATTTCGTAGCATGTTTTGTGATAGGGCAGCCCATCCTCATAAGCTGCTTCTCGCCCGAGTCGTAAGTTCTACTTCCAGCAACGTGATGCAATAGCACAAACTATCACCTGAGGTTATTAGAACGAGGGTCGCTCTCCCATGGCCGGTATTCCTGGCCAATTAACGTCTCCAAAGCTTTGGAAAGTCAACTATCCCCCCTCCGTGGAAAATAACCGTGATGCCACGATCTTCTCCTCCTTGGCTTTATCGTATTTATTTGTGTTCCTTTCCATCCTGCCTACCTGCTACCCCGTGGACTCGATAGACATGACCTTTGCCGTCCTTGCGATCGGAGCTATCATGCTCATTGAGCGTTTACGTAGTCTGCGTTTGGTAGATCTAGGTTTATGGGCCCGTCAGGATAATCGAGGAGGAGCTCGTTGGTGAGGGGAAGGCGTAATAACGAGTTCTTACCGGTGAGATGTGTTGCGCATCTATCAATAGTCCTTCAAGTTGGATGATTACAGCTTACGGTACATGGCAGGTGGAGGTCTATATATGGTGACACCTGGTCAACATCTATTAATCGGGATGTCTGGGGTCCTTTCCCTCGTCTTCCCTTCTCAACGGCCAGAATCTCATCCAACCGAAACGCTCTGTCTCCCGAGTGGCGTGGCTTATCAGATGGGTAACAGACCGATAAAAGCCGTGCTTATGCCCAGCGGTCCTGCCTCCTGCCATGACCTATCCCTCAGACGGGTACCAGTGGTTCCTGGTTTCGTCTTACTCATTACGACAGAAGCGCGATTTGAGATCGTTAGGACGGAGGAACTGTGAGCTTCGCGTGCCTCGATCCTATCTGACAAGCTGGTAGTCTCATGGGTATCGAACACGACGGCCCAGTCGCATGATGATATGTCCATTGTAATCAGAAGCCTCGAATTAGAAGGTAAGCCACCCTAAAGTTGTGGCGGATATGGAAACTCTCCTACTCATAGTTCAAACCTTTCTCCAGCGTATCTATGTCCATCTCTAGACCCCCAACGCTTCTATCAACGGTAATTCTCCGCTTTGATGATGATTCCTCCCACTCTCCTCACCGGTCCACGAATATACCCGCAAGGTGGTTCCCCCTCTGCTCTATGCTCATCAAGATAATGTTTTCTACCCGTGTTGTCTCACGGCTGCACTCGCAGACTCGAGATGGATGCCGTGATTGCTGGCATACACTTCGCCTCTGGGTCTATCACTGGGTAAGCACTCGATCGGTACAGAAGTATATGATGTAGCTTACTTCACTCTCTCTATACCAGCGCTTAAAGTGTCGAACAATAATCCGAGCCAAGTCTCGGACTCCGATCGTATCGCCGGATTCATTTAAATTAACCCCTACGGCCTGACCGTGTTGTCGGTACTAAGGATACGTTATCAGACCGGTAAGCTTCGACTTCTGCTATTGTCAGAAGACAAGACCTACTTTGAATCCGATGAGACAAGGCTGATATCCGCCTTTGTGTCTCAGTAGCATTACGTCGTCTCGACGTCCCCACCCCTCCATGCTGTCCCCATCGAGGACATCCACGGATACGCCTTTATATACACAGCGCTCTCGAATGGACTTGTCTCTGATTCCAATCGAGATTATTCCTTGCAACTTTCGTGGACTTTTTCGTTGTTTCGGGGCTGGGGCATGGCGCGGCGCAACCCACGCTGCCCTCTCTGCCGTCGACTGAGGCGGGCGATAAAAGCGAAAGACGCACTGTCGGCCATGGGAAGGGGATTCACCCCATGACGATGATCCAGCGACTGACTGCATGAGAGCTGAGGTGCTCCCCTGAGTCCCCGTCACTGGTTGTTCCGAATATTCGGTGAGATTGATGTTATGGTTCCCGGGAGCCATCCATTGACTCATTTCAGATGTCAGTGGCTGCCACAGCTCGGGAAGTTGGACATAGGGCTTATGGATACTACTTGAAGAGCCTATTCCCTGTGCCGGCCATACTTGGCTTGGATCCGTGGTTGCCGCGTACAACTGGTGAGACGCCCTAGTCAGCACTTTGGGCGACAACGCACGGAAGTCAGCTTGTACCTCCTGGGCATCGTGTGAAGGCTGCCCAAGGTTAGCGAGATGAGCTGGCCGCTGTCCGATAGGGATATACGACAAGTCCTCCTGGGTTTGTCCTACCTCCGGTACGTAGAGCTAGAAGACCGAGAATCAATATCCAAGGTTAGACGATTATGTATGTATGCTCGCACCTGATTGTCTCCATTACTGCATGTGCCTCCGAGGCCCGTATCTGTGAACACGACGTGGTCGAAGTTTTCCGTATCTTGCAAATCGATGTTGTATGGGTACGCGACAGCTGTGTCTTCGCTGTGGACGAAGCTTCCCAGGTTCCCGTGGAACTAGGACGACATGAGGCTCAGACCTGAAGGTGACTGTGAGTGAGAGCTCGTACCTGATTATCGATTTCCAGGTATGGATAAGCCAGCGCTTCCCCGTTTTGTACCTCTCCCCACCCTTCCATAGGCGTGATCTGTGAAGCAGAGAACATTGGTGATATACTCCCGCCGTCTTCGCCAGGCGTCACCATTGATATGGGAGTATCATATGCCTCAATTGATGCTAGTGCCCCGGTGCGGATCCCGTCATGTGGCTGAACATATCCCGTTGGCTGAGCTGTTGACGATAATGGTGACCCGGTAAGGTCGCAGTAGCTAGCGTATGTCGACTCGGGGGTGGCATACACCTCGACCGCTTCCGATGCTTCATGACAGGTGGATGATATTGGCAGATCATACATCGATGTTTGATGTGTCGATGGGAGTGAGGTGGTGCGGTCACCAGACGCAGGGGAGGTCGGCAGTGTGGGGCCGGTAGATGTGGCAGTGGATGGGCATGGCTCCTCAGATATCTATCCGAGCTTCAATATTGATACATTGTACCAGAATAGGTGTGTACTCATACCTTCGCTTCTTCCCACTCACCAAGCGCACCGGTCAACGTCGAGTAGGGTGCAGCCGTCACACCACTGGAGGCGACAGCGGTAGGCAAGCGCTCAACGTATATGTAGATAGGTTGTTGTTGCTCATCAGTCTGTCCAAGCATTGGGTACACATCCCTTGCCACCAGGTGAGTAAACCCTCGTACCTTCCCCACAACCCGTTCTACTAATGCGTCGGCCAACGTAGAGTCCTCAGATATCTCTGCACCCTGAAGTCTCGGCCATTCTTGGCGGCAGGCGAGGGCATCCCAGTCTTGGCCATCCAAGTCGTAGTGGGATGTCGCACCGGTTGAAGACCCGACAAAAGTAGGCGTGCCGGAAGCCTCGGGGTGCATGGTGTACTGAGATATCGAGTCAGTCGTTTTGCGTAGATACTGGCGCGCCGGGTAGCATGTCTGTAATAGATATATCCGTACCGCGTCCTGATGGGTGCTCGAGCCACACGTGCTATTTACGGGCTCCTGTTGGTTGCGGGTGGCATGGATATGGGTTGGTAGTGGCTGAGAGATTAATGGACGTAAGAGGGCAGGATATCAAGAGGATCACGGTCCACTTACAGCTTCCATCGTATTATATCCCATATCTCGAGAGTAAGTCCAAGCACCGTCGACACAGTTGTCACCGTGTAGTGTGTTAGAGTACGGCAAAGAATCATAACTACATGGTCGGCGTAGAGCTAACATATTGGTTGCTGGAGAAGTGAACTGGGAAGATTGCAGTGGATGGGGACAAAGGAAGTGTAGTTGAAAGCAAGGAAGATGCCGAGGAGAGGACTTTCGCAGGGTCACGACTTTGAAGAAATAATCGAATATCACGGATCTACGCCAGATCCTAACAGCGTACAATTTGACCTTGTCTCATATCTATGTATATCAGCAACATAGTTACTCGATGGTAGTCCCAGGGGGAATAATAACAGATTTGAGGTAGCATGCTACGGGATAAGAACCCATTCACCTCAGGGTGAGCGAGTACGGCTGCTTTTCCCTTTTTCTAATTCAACAAATCAATTAGACCTTAAAAATGGGAGGACAAGGGAAATTCTCGCTGAGCCGTCTGCCCTTGGAAAACCGCCGCCGGTGGTCATTCTGTGTGGCGCCGGAATCCCTGCACCCCTTCAGGAATTGGCTGCCTCAATCCAGTACCCTTAGCATTACGCGGATGCAATATTAGTTCTCAGTAACATCCGAGATAATCCCTATGTCCCAATGAAGGCCTACCTATGCTGCATTGCATGAAACCTGCCTGACGAGCGTATGTATATTACCGCACATGGCAAGTGAAGACCCATGTATAGATATATCGAACTCCGTGGTAAACCAAGCAACGATCAGCCGGGATGTCCGGGGTCTTTGCTCCATTCCTTCTCATCGGTCAGACACCATCGACAGAACGTTCTTTGTCTCCTGCTCTATTGAGCTTGTCTGATGCAGAAATGGACCCCATCAAACCGCTATTACACTCAGCGGTCTTATTCGTCTCACTGAACTGCCTGCGTCGACGAGTTAGGAACGTGTCATTGAACAGTCTTGTGAGTCCACGACGAATACCATTGGGATGAATGATTTGTGAGGCTTGTGAGTCCCTGTCTGAATAACGTACTCATGAACGTCTTTCTCTGATGCTGACGCTGAACGTGATGGCCCGAGCGTAGAATGCCATGTCCACCATCGAACGACTCAACGTTAAATTCTCGTAAGTCGCACTCAAACTGTCGCTGACACTGACGCCATCCTATTCACATTCCTATCCCTGCTTTCTACACCGTACCTATCTCCCTTCTTCACTTCTCCACCACCGATACCTCTTTCGATGGTCTACCCGCCGGTCCTTGGATGTACCCTATCCATTGTGCGGGCCAAACTTGGCCGGGTCCTATCGCCGACGCGTACAGCTGGTAACACGCGTGGGTCAGTGCCTCGGGAATCACCATACGTAGATCGGCACATACCTCCTGAGCCTCTCGTGAAAGCTGCCCAAGCGACGTAGGGAGATTTCCTCGCCATTTCCGGATGGGTATCACGCACAAGTCCTGAAGGACCTGTGCTTGATTGGCCAACGGCGCCGCTGCACATAGAGCTAGGACGGCCGATGAATACACAGAGTCGGAAATCATGTATGTGAGTTCGTACTTGATTCTCTCGCTCATCTCGTATCTCGGGCGCCGAACTTGTCAACGCTGTCGCGATGTCGATGTCGTGCCTCTCCTGGCAAGGGATATCATCGGAGGCTTCGACGGGTGCGTCTTCGCTGACTATGTACCTTTCTGGACCCTTGGAGGCCTAGAAGGAGCTATATCAGTCCTGACGGTGGGAAGTCCTGCAGGTGAGAGCTCGTACCCGATCGTCTGAGCTCTGTAGATACGAATAAGCGAGTAATTCGGTGCTTCCTTCATTTCCCCACGCTTTTAAAGGTATGTTCCTTGGAGGAGACAGCACCGACTGTGTACTCTCATCAGTGTCTCCAGACGTCGCCATCGATGTGGGCGTAGCATATGGCTCCAACGTTTCTCATGTCTCTGTGGCAGCCTATACGTTGAGAGCGGAGGCGTGGATGACACTAATTCCCTATCATATGTCATTGATATAGGTGTAGGGCATGCCTCGATGGATCCTAATGCGCCCTGACTAGTTGGCGCTATCGGCAGGCCATCGAGGGATATCTGAGGCATAGACGCAAATGATGCGGGTACCTCGACATATGCAAGGGAAGTGGTGGTGTCGCATATGTTGATGGATTTGGATGCCTTCTGCGACCTCTGTCCAAAGCAATCGGTAATCATGCATTGCAAAGAGATACTTTACCTCTTCTTCCCACTCTCCACCGAGTGCGCCGGCCAATGTCGAGTACTTAGACAATGTAGGAACCGACGATGTGGCTGCATCATCGCTGGCAAGGTAAGCCGCCGGTCCCGATGTGGCATTCATGAGGAAGGAGCAACCGGTGCTCGATCGTGCAAATAGGTAAGTGAACTCTCGTACCTGGACTGGCTGCCTCTGGTCCAGCGATCCCTCCAATGTGGAGTATTTAGACAAACTGACACCTGCTACCCTCAGTCATTCTTCTTCAGCGATGGTGCCGCAGTCTGTGTTCTGCGATCTTTCGCTAACAGTCCTCCCTTGTCGTCTTCGCCCACCAGCGCTGCGTCGCGTGCGGCGACGAATGCCCTCGGAAGGGCCTTGAGTATCGCATCGAAGAAGCTGTTCGGTGGGAACGGGTTGCCGACGTCTCGGACGTCGCAGGACTATTCGCCGTCCACTTCTTCTCCGCGGCGGCAGGAGATCATCACGGCGCGAAGTCCTGATGATGGTGGCGTACGCGACCCTCTGGAGGAGATAATCCTATCACACTTCGATGATCTCGTGCAGAAAGACGGATGTTCTGACCAGGTGGGTAGACGGGCTTTACGAATATGTGAATGCTGTTCCTCAGAGTAACTGCAGCTTTTATAATATCATTGCTTCGGATCTTACCCAGGACAAACTAGAGCGGTGACCGGACCCTAACAAAGTGAAACGCAAGGCAAGAATGCAGCTAAACAGAGCAACACGGACCTCGAAGCTGACAACAACGCCATCACAGGCATTGCTGCCTACATGCTGGTCATGTCGTTCTCGCAGAAGGGCATTGATCAGCTGCGCAACCACCAAGAGTATGTGAAGATGCGGGATCCGGACGAGGAGACCTTGGTTAGCGAGGGATTTTTAGAAGGTGGGAGACAGCCCGTTTCTGTCGTGTCTGGCCATGTCGCTCACTTGCATTTTCCACAGTTCTAATGTAGTTCAAGGATAGTTTCATCCGATGTAACGACCGTGCTACGCTCGCGAAGACATGACTGCTGTTGTACACTTTGAAGGATGATCTACTGCAGAGCGGGAGCCCCTTCAAGTTGGCTGAAGAGGTTCGGGCGACTGTGGGGACGTGTACGTGTCGCTTATCTCCTCTGTTCTGATACATGCTAAGATATTGTGTTGGATCACGATGACTAAGCTTCGCCTACACCGCTGCCAGGATCGGATGAGAATGAACGATCATTACAGACTGCAGGAAGCCCGAGCCGAACAGAACCTGGACGATATGACCCACATCCCTCCACCTTGGAAGCCCTCAGCAAATGGCTGGACAGGTTTCTTGTAACAAAAGGACTCACACCTCATCGTCCTTCTTTTCCGCTCTCACTCGCAATCCTTTGTAAATCACTCATTTGATACTAGACTATATATGATCGATTGCAAAATGACGTGGTTTTCGATTTTCAAAAACTCGCTGCAGAATTTGCCTTCTCACCTTTTGGCAGGAGGGTTCATCGGGACATTGGTATATTGATCGTCCACACCACATGAGATCCACGAAGCCCTGGTATACATTAACCATACATACATGGTACATGTATCAGGTTATAATGCTCAGAGCAACCGAGCCGATAGAGGGAGGCCCGCGGAGAGATGCATATTGCCCATCGCCTGGCTTGAAGTGGCTTCCACTGGCAGAGGCATCGCTGGACGACGCCTTGCGCATCAGGCTTGACTTGTGGTGAGTCACAAGAACCAGAGCCCCTGTCCCAGAGGTCTTCATCATCCCCTAATTAGAGAGCCTGAGCGGTTGATTCCAAAAGTGTAAAAGTAAGTTCGTGCTTGAGCGTAGACTACGTAGTAAAGCATTAATTGGCTTCGGGTCTTATAAGCATGATCATACCTGCGCGTGGTATCGGCGTAATTACCATAAAGGTCAGCTGCGTCACTAGCTTCTTCGTAATGCAGACGTGACGATAAGGTACGCAGAGGATGTAGTATTTGTCGCTTGCCACAGGCAACCCACGCATACTCACGACGGAACTCTTCTTTGTCGCCGCGATACGACGGGGGGTGCGGTAGACAGGGGCAACATTAGGAGGGGGTGAAGGTGTGATACGCATCGTGTCGCGCAAGTACTTGCCAACGAGCAGAGGAAAAAGCATGTGATACTGGAGAGCGTGGTTACGTGACATATCGGCGGAACACAGAGGTCCTGAACAGCACATCTACTTACGAACCAAGACGCGACTACATCTCTCCCAAATGCATCAAGAACGACTATGACCATCTCACCCAGAATATCCTTTACTCTCCGATGCGTTACTCGAGGACGGCCGGAAGACGGTCCTTGAGCCTATGAACGGTGCTCTCCTTCTCCGTACCATCCTGGCTCGTGGCCCTAGTAGGACGGGCACGTTTCGTTGACGAGCCCTCCTCCTCGTCACGCTTGCGCTTGCTCCCGCTTCCAGATATCTGGTTGGATTCGATCCCGGCCTTGAGGTTTGCTGCCGTGGTGGCCCGAGCAGCCTTCTTGGGTGTTTCTATGAGGCGGAAGGGGGTGGCGCCATCATTCGAAGGCCAGCAATCGGAGTCCAAAGCCTCGCGTATGACCTGCTTTATCTTCTCATGGGTCTTGAGTTGAAAGAACATATCCGGAAATGTAGCATAAGCTTTCTTGATCCAATCTTTGTCTTGGTAGTGGCTCTTGACGAGCTCCGCAAGCCGACGAATACAGGAGGTCAACGGTACATTCTCCTGTTGATCTCTAGCGGCGCCTTCACTGCTGCTGTCAGGGCCACACAGGATTTCCATCGTCTCCACGTGTCTTCTCACCAAGTCAAGCCTTATGGATTCATGGCAAATGGCGAAGACCCCAGTTATCCACGTGTCCGGTAAAGTATGTGGCCTGTGATGAATGAAGAGGTACGTCGTAGACCAGAAGAACGATTCCAGGTCGTGCCAAGTTTCATGAACGAGTAACTGCTCGCCTTGCCGAAGTCGAGCAGTGGAAAGAAACTGCGTGGTTCCCTGCAGATGGACACTTCAGCATTTGCAACAAAACGCAGAGAACGGGGCTCATACCGTGATTTCACGGAGATGCCCCTCGCTCCCGGGCTCCCCAATCACGGTAGCGTACTCGACATCAATAAGAAAGCCTTTGCATTTCTCCACCTCGGGGTAAGCGCTGATCATGATATTATTCACGCTGATATCCCGATGGAGTATATCCTTCTTGCTCATGTGTTCATGACCTATTGACCTGTCAGCTAGACTGGAGCAGTAAAACATAGGGGGGTAAGCACCTAAGAGCGAGTCATAGATCGCTTCCAACGCCTCGCGAGTGCATGTGAACCGACTGAGAGGGATCCCGACGGAATCGAGGATGCATCGATGATGGACGCGAGGGGGGCATTTGCGAGGCGCATTGTCATCCAGTATATGGGTGTTCAGTATGTGGGCGAGCGTCCGATGCATCTTGTTGTTCGGGTCAGGCGGCTCGACAAGATCTACATCGCTGCGCTTCCTCGCCACGCCGGGAATGTGATCAACGTGATCCTTGCCGCCATGGATAATGTCGTATATATCGCCCTCGAGTCTACGAGTAGGGTCCCGCCAAGAATCCTTGATGATTACGAAGTGGTCTTCGTTGCTGCGCTCCGGATTTTCGACGGTCCCGGGAACAGGGAAGGCGAGCCAGGTGCACGTCCCGCGACCAAGGAGCGCTGTCGAGGTCACCAAAGGTGGGCCGACGGTGATGTACTGCTCGAGCTTCGCACCGTCCTTGGACGGAACTCTGATGGTGCTGCTCTGCGCCCTCAGGGTGTCATCGTGTAGCTTCTCAGCTTCTTCTGAGAGCAGGCGCTTCTCTCTCGCCTTTCGAATCTTTTCCAGTAGGAGAGCGTCGTGACCGTGGACCTCGAAGTCTATCGTAGGGTCCACGCCACTACCATAGTAACCCTCGGCGCCGAAGCCAGCCAAGAATTGCCAGAGTGGCTCGGGATTCACCTTGTATTCAAAGGCCTCGGATACCAATATCGAAGAGCGATCGAAGCGGAAGAATCGAGCGCGATTGCCAAAAACACCAATGCCACAGAGAAAGCAGCGAGGCCGGCGCCTGAACGAGACCGTAGCGTAGTACGAGATTTGATCCCAGACATCAACCTCGTAACCATGAACGACATTTGAGGAGGAGCCGTCAGTGTAATAAAAGGGATCCTGCTTGTCCCGAGGCTTGACTTCCACGAACGCCAATGCGGTTGGGCCAAGTGCACTTTTCAAAACGTGACTTGATCATAAAGGTCTGGCATCCCAGGTCGTCGGGGTCTTTCTTGCGGTCGACGGTTTCGACTTC